TTTATCTTATAGTTGTATTTGATTTTCTATTATCTAAAACAATATATAATTATAAATCTATATACATATAGTCAATTAATATGTATTTTATATTTGTGCTATATGTTCCAAAGCGAATTGATTTAGGGTTAGTATTACAATTTGAAGTCGTCCATTTTAGTGATCTGGATCGCGAACCCACCTCGTTTGAGATCGATGTACGCAAATCGTGGGTCAGTAAGGGTTAGTGAATTGTGGTAACCATGTTCAAGATAAGCTTAAATAAAATTGAATATATAAAATGAAATTCTAGTAAAACAAGAAATTCCAGAGCAAGAGAATGAAGATGATAATAATTATAAAATTAAAGCAAGATGGACTATGTAGAATGTGATCTATGTGTACCTTTAAGTTAAAAGGTAAATTTTACAAAATAGCTATTAGACAACTTTGATTTATGATCTAAAGTGTTGGATAGTTAAGATACCTACTGCTCAAAAATAAGTAGGGCATAAATAAGGATCACACGATGGATGGAAGGTCAAACCAAAATCACAGCATTAAAATAAATATAGTCGCACAACATTAGAAATAGTACCAATTTAAGATAACTAAATCGACTTAGGGACTTTTTTACAGAAGATCTATTATTGCACTACTAAGCAAGAATGATGTGGTACCCATCAATGGCAATGTGTGGGATAGATGAAGATCAAAATTAACTTTTGAATTAGATAGTAAAAAAATGTAGCAATTCACGGTTTAACAAAAAATATGGCTAATGATAGAGCACAATAGTGGAACAAGAATAACATAGCTGATCCCAAAATAGTTACGACACGGCTCAACTTAGTTGAGTTGAGGATTTGATCTTTTTTTATTATTTTTTGATAAGCAGCAATCATTTAATTGATGAAAAAGTAGTACAAAGAGATAAGGGAGGGTGGTCAAGGTGTCTAAAACTCAATTCAAATAAAGAGAACAATACATAATAGGACTCGCTAGGGATGGGCATATCTACAAGTCAATATTCTTAGTGATCGAGGCCCAAAAAGATGTCAAAAAGATCTGATTTTGTAAATCCTTCAAACCTCTTATCAATCATCAAATATCTGAGCATTCTTTTCCAACCGAGTAACCCAAAATATAGCATGACTAGCACAATTCCAAATAGTGACTCCTTTATTGTGCCTTCCAAATCCACGAAAATCCACAACAAACATAGAAGAAGACAACCAAGGGACCACCTAGCTCAAACACTCCAAATGAAAAAACTTGCTCCACAAAGTCAACACAATAGGTAAATGCAAAAATAAATGATGACCAATCCCACTACCATATCGACACATCACACACTACTGTGTAGAAAGACAAGGATGAGTTCTTAAGCTCTAAAGTATATAATTGGTATTAATCTTGCATGACCAAGAATCTATGCACACACCTGCACCTTAATTGATGCTTTAGCCTTTCATATCATCAAAGAGAGGGTGTATATTACAAGAGAAGGCACCTGAACAATCAAGAACCCACCTTCTCTTATCACAAGAACATTTGCTAAGAGTGAAATAATTAAGCAATGAAAGAAGTGGTACCACACCCATAGTCTCTCTACCATTTAAGTTTCTACGAAACCTAAAATCCAAGAAAGTGACTACAAAGTAGTCTAAATCATAGTAGGGATAGGGTAATCATGAGTACAAAACAATTGATATAATCAAGGAGACAAACAAGACAACAATTACTCCTCCAACTAAACATCCTCCCAAAAATGAACTCTATCCTCATTACTCATGAACACTTGAACATTTTGTGAAAACCTAGATAATAATTTACATGGGCACCGAAAACTTTCTTTTTCAACCCCAATAGCATCTCATTCATTGGCGTGTAATCTATATTTCCTCTTGATATGAATTGTGTTCTAGAAGAAATCTCCAGAGGTATTTCCCATCCAATTCTACATTCCGTGCCAAACAAGTTTCTAACCGAGAGACCACTTTTTTCCATAGATCTTGATATCACTTCCCACCTGATCAAGTGATCTTTTTCTCTTCACCAACTCCTTCACACAAGAAATTCTCATCTTTTTTTCAACTTAATTGCTGCCTTAACTGGCAACTTAAAGAGAGAGAAAAATTAATGGGAATGCTAGACAAAATAGATTGAATTAAAGTTAGCCTACCCCTTTGAAAATAAAAGCTCCCTTCCACCCATCTAGTTTTTTTTCCACCGGTTGAGGACATAATCTCATCTTAGTTTCTAAATTTGAACCTTTTAGAAGTATTAAACTATCATCTACTATAAAAGTTTAGGCTGTTGGAACAAGTGTAGCTTTAGTATTTATATTTTAACACACCCCCTCACGTGTGGACTAAATTTTCGGCCTAGCATGTGACAATTTTTTAATAATTATGATGGCGGCGAAATTCAAACACAAGGCCCCCTATTCTGATATCATGTTGAACCACCATCTACTCCAAAAGTTTAAAATGTTAGATAATGTGTAAAAATATTTATAATTCAACATGAAGAAACTTATAAATATTGTTTATTTTACTTGGGAGTTTGTCGATCATTGAAATAAAGAATTAAATTGAACTCCGTCTCTCTCATCCCTCTCTTCTCTTTCCTATCAAGAATTCTTCATTTGTATGTGGTGGCAACATCAAAGATAGCCTTAAAACTAAAAATGGGTGGAATTAGATTTATCGAGAGATCTCCTACTTCTGATTTTAAGGATGTCATGACACCTTTGTTACAAAAATCAAAAGATCAACATGAAAAAGTGTTTATCAATGGCCTCAAGTGTCACCTCCGTTGAATATGCCATGCTATGGAAGGAAATTAAAGTCGATCCACATAGATGACCAAGACCAAAGTATTTCAACTACCAGTTTTTTCTAAGGGCTACCAAGTACCATGTAATGCTTCACAAGTTGGCATTTTGCCAACATTCTTATGCAAGAGAGGCCATACAACCTCAATTTGGCATAAAATCTAAACTTTTTCCTTTGAATTTCTTCTTTTCTATAGTTCTTTTGCTCTACATTAAGATGTTCCCCAATTTATTGTGCACAAAATTAACACATTTGTATAGATTAGCCTCAGGACTTGTGCACTATTCAACATTGTTGTCCAACATTGATTGGTATATCAGCTGCAGAAAAATTAAAAAGAAAAAAATGCAAATGAGAAATCCTTCTCGCTTACCCTCTCACATTGGTCACACCCCCAAAACTTAAACACAACAAATAAGAAACGTGAAGAGATTGAAAATTTCCAACTAATAAGCACTCGAAATCCAAATGAAACAATGAGACTTCAGTGTTACATTAGATGTCCATTGTGATGCTCTACAAACAAATAGTGAATATAGTTTGATGGAACTATCACCAATCAAAGCTTTTGGGTTTTAGCTAGGTGCTTGGCCCTTGCTGCATTCTATCTGCCACTGCAACGTGTGGAGAGAATCAGTTGCACGCAGTCATACCTCTGGGTACGTAGAGATTATTTCCACCACTCAAAAAGTATACACACATGGTTAGACATTTAACTCCCAGCACAAACTAATATTAGTAACAAACGTCACATATTTACACAGTGCACGATAAAGATGCAACCTTCACACAGAACACCTAATGCATACATTTTGCAAAACAAGATAAAAAATAAAGGTGTAAGACAATGCCAAATAGCATTGTAAACAACTAGAAGCAAAATTTTCAAAGAAGAAGACTGCCTTGCCTTGATATAGAAGGGCCCCAAGCTGATAAGAGTTTCACAAAACTGCAAGGAATTGTAGAGTTACGGTGATTTCAAGACAATCTAAAAAGTAAATGTAAATCAGAAAAAGTCTAAAAGGTAAAACAAATAATAATAAGAGCTTCACCATATTATGTACATTGCAATCTCATATCACAAAATGAGACATTGTATGCCGAAATGATTATCCATCTCATATCCTAATCCAATGTGAAACTCCAGCTAGTAAATGGCATATGTTCTATGATTTTCAAATGTCAAGTTTCAAGCTTCCCTCTAATGGGAAAAAAAAAAGGTTCCAAAACAAACTTTATGTGAGGACAGGATTTGAATCTGTAGACCATAGTCAATCAGCAACTACAAATCCAAAAACTTTTTAAATAGATTAAATGTAAGAGGATGTTTGTGGACTGTCCATGTGATAGCAAATATTATTAACAACCCACCAATTAGAAATGGGAACTTCTAGCTAATCATGGTAGGGTTGTACATATGACTACTTCTACCACTTCAGACCACATCAGATTTGGGATGGGATGGGATGAGATAGGTTTTCCCACCTTTCCACAACTCTCTCACCCCATTTTCTCTACAAAAAAAGCTCATGCTCATAGTACCCAACCACATCCAACAGAGCATTTTGTAGCACACTACTAACGAAGGACAAAGAACTAGTCCCGCAACTTCATGGAAAATTAGAATAACAGCCAGAGCGATTCTTAATTTATGAAGCTGACAATTTTGGTGTATGATCTATGAGGGTTCAAGTTTTCTATTTCATAAAGCTATGAAGGTTATGATGTCAAGAAATGATACAAGCTGAATGTTACTTTTCTAAGAATCCCTGACTTTAGCATGACACGCATTTCTTAATGCTTCGGTTCGTGAGATGTGCTCCTTTGGTCTTGCACATTGAAGCACCACTGACATCAGTTGTGAAGTCCTCCAATAACTGACATATATTCTAATTAAAAGTAACGAAATATTCATCCAGAAATTTGAACTCCATGCGTACTTTCCAACTGTACCAACACTACTACAATTTCAGGCGCTACTCTCTTTTTTCACATATGACAAACAGAACAACATTATCATCAAGACAAGCATCTTGCAGGTTTCCTGCATTAACATACGCTTTTACAGATAAAGCGAAATACCCAAGAGAAAGACAGAAGGAGGGAAGACAGAAGCATAGAGAGCAGGAACACAGGAAGAAAGGTTTAAAAAAACAAGGAAGCAAAATACACATTGTTTACCATTTTGGAACGCTTTCTAATGTCATGAACCAATAATTGCCAAATGGTAAGCTTCAACACATGGAATGAAATTATTGCTGCTCTATACAAAGCCAAGAATGGACCAAATCGGTATAACATGGAAACATTTTTGGAGCTATAAGTTCCAAGTGCATGTCCAAATTCACTTTCCAGTGACTCTTTTCTCAACTTTGCATACTCAGCAGATGGCCTTTCACCATGCACACTGGAGAAGCCAGTAGAAAAACTGCACCAGAAACCCAACATTAGAAACATGCAGAAAACAAATGAAGAATTCCAAGTGTTTGACAGCAGCACATCCAGCACTAAACTGCTTCCATGACTAATTGTTGAATTAATATCCATGACAACAAAAAAAAAAAGTATCCCACAAGGCATTCACGTACGAATTTTGGTGTGAAAAGAATGGCAAACCATAATTCTCATGCCTTCCTTTAAATATGATATTGCCGGGAGGCCCAGATGAGAAATGCTTCCACAAGATGGTCTCAACTGAACTGTCACTGTGTAATGCTGCAAAAAACCCAAGTAAACTTTAATATTGCAACCTGAAAAAAACAATAACCAAGCTTAGGTGAAATAACAGATTAACCTTTCAACTGCCCAATCAACCTCCCAATACAAAAGAAGAAATCCCATTTTAAAGACACGTGTAGAGAACAAGACTTAAAGGGAGAGAGACCTGTTTTAAAGATGAAAAATATTGATGAAAAAAGATCATGGAAAAGAAAGAAGGAAAGGGAACACAGTTGAAAAGTAATATTCAAGGGGAGAAGGTTATTTTGGCAGAAAATCTATATGTTTCACTTAACCATGAGCAATGGGAAGTGATGAGGCACAAAGTTGACTATGCACAATCAAATCAGTCAAGTGTATGGTGTGAAGTAATTAATAATAAGAGACAAAAATTGAGGAATTGTGTCTGAGTAACCTAACCACTGAAGGCGGCAATGGTGATCAGAAAAACTCTATTAATATGACAGTACAAGATAGTAAAAGAGAGAGAGCAAGAGTATGCTCAAGATGAGGTGTTTGAGATCTGCCGCCATGTGTAAGGGGTTAACAATTTATAATGACTGAATCCTACTTGCGGTGGTAACGCGATGGTCAAAGTACTAATTTATCGGAGAGGATAGCAACAATTGAGGATTGACAATATTTTAGTGTAATGACTATTCCAATGATTGCTCTACCACATGCGTTGACTTTCTCTGGACTCTTGAACTTTAGATTGGACTGAGACCATAAGTTAAGTCTGGTCTGCCTTTTGATAATTTGGGCTTAACACATGGATTAAGCCCAGACTTAGTCTGGATCTGGGCTCATCATTTACCCCCATGTCCCAAGCCCTAGTAGTGATAAGGGGTTGAGGGCATGAGTGAGCTCCTTCATTTGAGTAGACCAAGGTATCTTGTTCCACACTGTGGCTTCTTCAACTTTTTACATCATTGCATTTTCGAAACTTATTTCTCTATTTGGTAGTGCCATTGTTGAAAATCCACTATGCTAGCAAACAAATTTCTCTGATGATGGGTCTATCAAACCCTTCTTTCCTGATTACAACTAAGGCAGTGTCATTCTCTTTCTTCCTTCCACAAGCAACAAAGAAAGGATGAGAAAAGGCACGGACACTTCTACTAGAGGAGATGGAGATGCTTTGGCGAGTGGCGCCTTGGAAAAGGAGAGTGGCTTAGGTGGCACCGAGATGAACCTGGGCGACACTAGGGGAGGCGCGAGCCTGGGCATCATTAGGAAGGGTGATGTCGGAGCAAGGTTGGGAGACGCCAGAAAGCTGCGTGACGCTAGGGGAGACCCGAGACTAGGTAGCGCTATGGGCGACACCATGGAGAACCTAGGCAAACTGATGATGTTTTCAATTTCTGAAAATTCTCTCTTTCATTCAGACTCCACTGGTGATCCCGTGGTTGATAGATCAATGGTGGAGGCTTTCCATGTCATTAGGATGGCGACTTCTCCTCCTCCTAAAAGAGCGAGATCTGATGCCTCCGGTGCTTCCCAACTGAAGTCTGATGGTCCTACTATTTTTTGGAAGGCGGGGTCTGATGGTGTCCCTGATTCTTCTCGGGATGTGACCCCTTTGAATCCTAGGGTTATTTTAGAGATTAAGGCTCTTGGGCAGACTTCACTGAGACTAGTGCTTCGCATAATTTTCCAGCTTCTAGTAATTGCCTGGTGTCCATGCTGTTGGACGTGAATTTGGCCAAGGGATATTAGAGAGCTTAGCTCTCAAGGTCCTAAGGGTATCACCGATACCGCGATGGAGGGCTTTGGTATGGTACACTTCTTTTTTATACAACCTTGTCTTCTGTATGTTTTGCTCATAATGACATTCTTGCTTTTGGATATTCGCAGATAGCTGCGGCTTTTCCGTGCCTTTTTTTGAAGAAGCTCAAACTCGATGGGTTGTCGAGACCTTTGGTGGAAGAGAGACAGGCACATCAACCTGCTAAGGAGTAGTTAAGGTTGACTCATGAGAGAGTAGAACCTTTTGAGGCCGAGTTTTCGAGAGATTGAGGTTAATTGCGGGAGAGCAGAGACATAGTTAGGCCGAGCTTCTGGAGGTTGCTTACATGAGAGTAGAGACATAGTTAAGTCGAGCTTCTGGCGACTCATGAGAAAGCCGCTAAGCTGGAGACTGAGACTGCTTGCGTGAGAGCAGAGGCAGAATTAGGCCGAGCTTCTAAAGACTAGCGAGAGAGCTGCTAAGCTGGGAACTGAAGTTGCTTGTGTAAGAGTAGAGACAGAGTTAAGCCGAGCTTTTGGCAACTTGAGAGAAAGCCGCTAGGCTGAAGAGTGAGGCTGCTTGCGTGAGAGTAGAGGTAGAGTGAAGCCGAGCTTCTGGCAACTCATGAGAGCCGCTAAGCTAGAGACTGAGGCTGCTTGCGTGAGAACAGAGGCAGAGTGAGACCGAATTTTTGATGACTCGTGAGAAAACTGTTAAGTTAGGGACTGAAATTACTTGCATGAGAGTACAGGTAGAGTGAGACCAAGTTTTTGGCATTTTCGAAAACTATCTCCCACGAGACGAAGAGGCCAGTGAAGGTAGCCTGAGGGCAGTAGGACAGTGCCGACAATGCATCGGCATCAAGCACGGGAGGCAAGGACGCCTAATGCGCTAGGAGGGGTGACACTAGGCACCAGGGGCACTGTTGGACGAGCGGGGCACGTGATACGCACAGTGTGCCCAAATGGGCCAGGAGGTAGGCACCAAGACAAGGGCGTGCGGATGCGCAGGCACCGTAGGGTTGGGCTCTGATGCAAGCATTGTGTGAGTTGGGAAGTGGTGTTGGATGGAGTATTAGAAAATCATGAAGAAATGACAAAATTTTGAACAACCATAACTTTACACTCGGTTATCCGTTTAAGGCAAATTATTTTTTTGAATTCGGGTATTGTTTCAAGATCTACCAGAATCAAACTGCCTACAATAGTTTGGGCACCAAATTTTCCTAAATAAAAGGTTCTTCACCTTAACACAATAACAAGAAAGAGCCCTAATTAGCCCCTTTTTAGCCATGTTGTTCAGTCTCCAGGCATGGATGCTTACTTGCAGTCGCATGTTAACTTGTTTTTCATTGAATTTGAATTTTAAACATAAATTGGTGAAGAAGTAAAATTTTCCCGTGTCTACTTTTCGTATACCCCTCTACGTGAGGACTCAGCTCGACTTGTTTTGGTGACTTCCTCAGTGTTTATGTATTTCTGAGCGTTTGATAGTAATTCTAGCATATTCTTTCACGGACTCTCCAAGATTGAAAACGTAAGAGTGGATGAGCGCACGCCTTCTCTGAAGGCCGCCATGACGACTTTGTCATATGGTTCTTCAATCTGGAGGACTTCCTCATTCAAAAGAATAAGGTAATTCTTAACTCTTTAGACTTTCATCTCGGTCCTACTTGATGCTGAGCAGGTGGGTGGTAGGCTTTTGATGTCGGCGTCCTCCAATGAAATATGAGATAAAGGACTTGCTCAGTTCAACAAAAGAGTCAATGAAAGCTACGGTAAGCTTAGCAAACCACTGGCAAGCAGATCCCTTGAGAGTGGTAGGAAAAGCCCTACACATGATCTCGTCTGGTACGTAGTATAACTACATCAGATATTTGTAGGTGTCAAAGTGGTCTAGCGGATCTTTGGAGCCATCAAAAACTTCCACGGTTGGAATCTTGAACTTTGGGGGAAGAGGGTAGTTGACCACATCAGGCACAAAAGGCGTTGCGTGGCGTGGAGGTACGCCTCACAAGGTAGTTGACCATTTATGGGCCTCACACCTTCCTGGCATTATAAACGTCAACGAGTTGATTTTGTACCTCCTTGATTTTCTCGTCCTCGTGGAAAGGAATATCACGAGTGGGGTTGTTCGTGTAGCTTTCGTGGTTCCCATGTTGATTTTTTCCCTCATCCTATTAGGAAGGAAGGTCGCCAACATGGGAAGGAACAGGCTACGAAACGAGGTAGCAGGTAGCCCTTGGCAATGGGGGGCACCTTAGCGCCCTAGGTGAGGCTCTTAGGGTGCCTTTCCTCCTTTCTAATGTTGGGAGGCGACTCCTTGAAAACTCCCATCAAGCATCAGCGTGAGGATCTGCTGGTTCTAGTTAACCATCTGTTGCATGGTCTCCAACAGTTGTTGGTATTCAGGGTCGGGGTTCGCCGGTGGTGGCCGGATCTTGTCGTGATGTGACGGGTTATCTTCCGCTTGGTGGTTCATAAATTTGGTTTTGATTTCCATTAGAGGTAAGAAGACTGTAAGGTGAGAATCAAATCATTTCCCACAGACAGCGCCAGCACAAAGTTGACTATGCATGATCAAATTAGTCGAATGTGTGGTGTATAGCAATTAATAATACGAGATAAAGATTGGATGATTGGATTTGGATAACCTAACCACTGAAGGCAACAATGATGGTTAGAGAACTCTATTAATAAGAGAGTACAAGATAGTAAGAGAGAGAGCAAGAATACGCTCAAGGTGAAGTGTGTGAGATCTGCCCTCATGTGTGGGGAGATTTAAAATTTATAAACACATAGCCTTAGCTGTGGCGATGACGTAAAGGTCAAGCTACTAATTTACTGGGGAGGATAGCTACAATTAGGGATAAGCACTATCTTGGAGGAATGGCGATCCCCTTGATTGCTCTCTCACATGCGTTAACTTTCCCTGAACTCTTGAGTTTTGAATTGGACTGAGGTCATGAGATAAGCCTGACTTACCTTTTGATAATTTGGGCTTAACACATGGACTGGGTCCAGTCCTAGTCTGGATCTGGTCTCGTCAAGAAATGTCACACACAAAGTTAAAAATAGAAGTGAAATGCCACTACACTTAGGATGTTATGTGTTATTAGCCTAAAAAGTTTAGTTGTGGTGCTATAGAAAATACTTAAAGCACCACATTCCCGAATTG